AAGCATGAGATTAACGACCATGTACTAAATGACAGAAAAGTGTCCAGATCTACAGTATCAAGAAGACTCAACGAGAATGTAATATTTGGTTGTGTCGCAAATTGATCTCCAGATATTGTCAAGAGACTGAAATTTGCCAAAAGGTACAAAAACTGGACTGTTGATGATTGGGAAAAGGGTGTTATTGACGGATGAGTCCAAGTTTGAAATATTTGGTTCAAAGCATAGGTTGTACATCCGGCGGAAGAAAGGTGAAAGATACTTACTTCAATGCATAGCACCTACCATGAAGCATGGGATAGGCAGTGTGATGGTTTGGGGGTGTTTTTCTGCTGAGGCAACAGGAGATATTTGCAAAATAGATGGAATAATGGACCAGCGCAAGTACCATGAGATACTGATCCATCATGGTATACCCAGTGGTTTACGTATTATTGGTAAATAATTCTACTACCAAGAAGATAATGATCTCAAACACTCATCCAACCTATGCAGAAATTACTTAGCTAAGAAAGAAGCTACTGGAGTTATTCAAATGATGCAAGGACCCCCACAGAGCCTCGATCTCAACCCAACTGAGCAGATCTGGGATTTGATAGAACAAAAACTTGACAAGTCAAAAGTTACTTCCAAAGAAACTTTATGGGAGTGTATTAGAGACATTTGGAGTAAAATCCCAAAGGATACTTTGATTAAATATGTTGTAACAATGCCTGAAAATTATTAAAGCAAAAGGGGGGGGAACACAAAATATTGACTGTTCGCTCTACTCAAGCACTTCCACCAAGTTTCTGTTGTACTAAATATGAATATTAATAAAATTTTGACGTTTCACCTGTGATGTACCTTCCATTGTTCTTTGAAAGTAGCCTGAAATCTAATTTTTGACTTTGTCCTAACACTTTTGCATAGCACTGTATATGGTCAACAGCACGTGTTATATATATCCTTTTCTTCAGTGACGTCACCACAAAAGATGGCTTCACCCATCCGCATAAAAAGTAATTGGGCTCCCTATAAACATTTATTTCCATAAAATTGATTACGATTCTGGTGATTTGGGACCCCTTTTGTCTCGAACACCCCGTATTTACTCCACTGCTTTTCTTAGGAGGCTTAGTTTATCTGTAAATTGTAGGAAAGCAAGACAAATCTTTCTTCCCAGGTTTGCGTCCCGTTGTTGCAAGATCGCGCTCCGCGTTTTATAATACGAGTGCGTTATATTTCGAGTGGTAAAATCCCATTAGTTGGATTTGGCGGTACATGTTGTCCACTACCTGCCTTCCCTTTACGATATTGTCTTTTTGTTTTGTCATTATAGTTTTCGCTACCGAGAGAAGAGAGGAGGAATATTAGCAAGCTTTACAACAAGATGAACATCACCGAGATCTACAAACTTGCCCCCAGTGTCAACTGGAGGGAATTCTTCAACAAACTGTTGGTTGACCCCATCCCAGACTCGGAACCGGTCATCGTCGACGTTCCCGAGTTTGTCAAGAAATTTGACGACCTCATTACCACCATTGATAAGAGGTATTATGTTACAGAAACTTTTGTTTTTATTGATAGTCCCCCCCCCACGGTGGGCTTGTTTGTTTGTTTGTTATGGATTACGCGAAACTACACGAGGGCTATCTGCGCTAGCCGTCCCTAATTTAGCAGTGTAAGACTAGAGGGTAGGCAGCTAGTTATCACCACCCACCGCCAACTCTTGGGCTACTCTTTTACCAACGAATAGTGGGATTGGCCGTAACATTACAACGATCCCACGGCTGAAAGGGGGCGAGCATGTTTGGTGTGACGGGTATTCGAACCCACAGATTGCGAGTCGAGCGCCCTCTCGGTGGAACATTGGTGAATCTGCGGTGAACACAGCAGATAGCCCAATGTGGCTTTACTCTATAGAAACAAATAAAAGCAAATCTTGTAGATAAGTTGTTTGTGCAACACACTCCAAAACATCAGTCCTCTTGTGACCATCCATTACAGATACAGAAAATTCTTAAGCTCTTACTTTCTACGTTATAGGCACGTGCGTTTAGGTAAAGAAACTGTAAAGTATATTAATGTTTGTTTTATAAATGGGCTTGGCATGGCCTGATGATTAGTGAATTCGAAACTCGTCACCGGTCGTCAGTCCCACCCACTGTTCTTTGGTGAAGAATAACCTAAGAGTTGGCGGTGGTTTGAGTTGACCAAATGCCTTCCCTCTAGTCTATCATTTCAAAAATGAGAACGGCTAGCGTAGATGGCCTTCAAATAGCTTTTCGCGACATTTTACAAACAAGCAAAGCTTATATAAAATAAAACAGTTCTCATATTTCTAAACATAGAATACATTTACTCTTAAATTACCACCTTCTTTATGCTCTTTTCATAGCAGGTGAGGTTCACACACACATTCAGGCATGGACCATTGGTTAGTCTGGTAGAAATAAATGAGGGCCTACGTGCAGATCACACACATTCAGGCATGGACCATTGGTTAGTCTGGTAGAAATAAATGAGGGCCTACGTGCAGATAGCCCATTGTGTAGCTTTGCAACATCCGGTAAAAAAACTGGGTGAAATCACTCGTGTTCTATATAAAACATCCAGAAAACTCCAGCAGAAGCTAGTGGGATTAATGACAATATTGTTAGATAACTTCAGCAGAAGCTAGTGGGATTAATGACAATATTGTTAGATAACTCCAACAGAAGCTAGTGGGGATTAATGACGATACTGTTAGATAACTCCGGCAGAAGCTAGTGGGATTAATGACAATACTGTTAGATAACTCCGGCAGAAGCTAGTGGGGGTTAATGACAATACTGTTAGATAACTCCGGCAGAAGCTAGTGGGGGTTAATGACAATACTGTTAGATAACTCCG